GAATCTGGTTCTCGTTAGCAGGGCCTGAAGAACCAGTTGTGATTAAGAAGGTATCAGAACCACTGAAGGGAAATCTCTGTTCACTGGGACAATTGATGTTATGGAGAAGGAGCTTAGGCATCAGGAAGACTAAGAAAAGATCAGTATCATTGAGTTAAAATCATCCGGGACAGGTTTCCTCAGAGGTGGGTCATGGAAGCTGTGTGCCTAAGGCTGTCAAGGTTGCACCTCATCCTGGCAGTAAAACCTGGTAGTGCAGGAATCATCCAGCTAATGCAGGTTTTGAAGGCATGAAAGAGTCATAGAGAGCATCCGAGGGCCGGCACTCTGTGGCAGGGATAGAGTCCCTGAGAAGAGCCCAGAGAGGCTAATGCTGAAAGTGCAGTCCCATTTCAGCACGACACCCCAGGCTTTGGAGATGCCAGTCCCTTAGGAAGTCCACGAGGTAAGGGAAGACATGAACTGGAGTTGACCTGTGTCTAGGGGTCAAGCTGTGTGTGCTGCAGAGGGTGGATCTGAAAAAGTGATATATGTTCTCCCTCTTTCTTGTAGTAAGAGGTTAATTTATTTTTGATTTTTAGAGGAGCCCATAGTTGAGTTTTAAAACTTTAAATTTTTAAAAAGAGTTTGGATATTTAAAAAATTTTACATTTTCATTAATTTTCATTTTATGAATGTTTTCACCCCATGTATGCCTGCTTCCAGTGGAGGTCAGAAGGGAGCACCATATCTTATAGATTAAAAGTTATAGGTAGCGGTAGCCACCTTGTGGATGCTAGGATTGAAACCCAGATCCTCTGCAAGAGCAGGCAATAATCTTAACTATTGAGAACCTCTAGTACCCCCAAGTTTGGATATGTTACAGAGACTTTTAAATTTTTCTCTGTTTTTTGTCAAGCTATGCATTTTTCTCTGCTTCTCTCCCCTTCATCACTCTCCCCTTCTACCTTTTCTTATGAGCCCCATGCTTCCAGATTACTCCGGAGATCTTTTTGTTCTTTTTCCTATATAGATCCATGTATGTCTATCTTAGGGTTCTCTTTGTTGTCTAGGTTTTCTGGGACTTCAGACTGTAGACTCTTTGCTTTATTCTAAAAGTCACTTTAAAGTGGGTCTGAGTTATCTCACTCAATATGTTTTTTCTCCAACCATTTGCCTGCAAATTTCAAGATATCACTTTTTTTTCTTCTTATACTTTCCTTTTTACTATTGTGTAATGTATCATATTTTCTTTAACCATTCTTCAGTAGAGGGGCATTTACGTTGTTTCCAGATTATGGCTATGACAAACAATGCTGCTATGGACATAGATGAGCACATGTCCTTGTGTTATAATTGAGCATCCTTTGGGTATACACCCTAAAGTGGTATTGCTGGGTTTTGAGGTTGATTGTCTCCTAATTTTCCGAGAAATCTCTATACTGATTTTTGGAAAATTTTAAGAGACTGAATGCTTAAAAACTCTGTCACTCTTAAAACTTAGAATTTTTTATATTGTGAACTTCATATTACTGTGACTGTAGGGATGAACAAGAAAAGGAAAGGCTTGGCCTTACCAGTGATGTGTTTATATGTCAAGTTGACAAGGGGTCAATTGTGCTGGCTAGTTTTATGTCAATGTGACAGAAGCTAAAGTCATTTGAGAAGAGAAAACCTCAAATAAGGAAATGTCTCCACATGCTGGGGATATGTCGAAACCTGGAGGGCACCGATTAGAAACTAATGTAGTGGGTGGTACCATCTCTTATATACCAGTTATATACCAGAACTTCTGGTTCTAGGTGTATAAGTAGACTGAGTAAGCCCCGAGGAGCAAGCCAGGAAGCAGAATTCCTCCATGGCCTCTGCAGCAGCTCTGCCTCCCAGGTCTTACCCCTTTCTGCTCCTTTCTTTTGGTGATGAGCCCTGTCCTGCACAAGCCGCTCTTGCCATGGTGCTTCATCGCAGCGTTAGTCACCCTGATTTAGACAACGTTTAAGTTGCGTGCTGTTTAAATACAAGCAGACTCTCGTAATTCCCATTTGTTTATGAACAAAATCCTAGAATCTTTTCCTCTAGTGTTTTATTTACTTATTTATTTATTAAAAATTTCCACCTCCTCCCTGCCTCCCTTTTCCCTCCTCCTCCCCACCTCCCCCTCACTCTCTAGCTCTAAGAGCAGTCAGAGTTCCCTGCCCCGTGGGAAGTCCAAGGTCCTCCCCCCTCCATCCAGGTCTATAAAGGTGAGCATCCAAAAAAAACAGGCTCCCCCAAAGTCAGTTCATGCAGTAGCATCAAAACCCACTGCCATTGTCCTTGGCTTCTCAGTCAGCCTTCATTGCCAGCCACATTCAGAGTGTCCTGTCTGATCACATGCTCCGTCACTCCCAATCCAGCTGGCCTTGCTGAGCTCCCATTAGATCAGTCCCACCATCTCAGTGGATGGACGCACCCCTCGTGGTCCTGACTTTCTTGATCATGTTCTCCCTCCTACTGCTCCTCATTTGGATCTTGGGAGCTAAGTCCAGAGCTCCAATGTGGGTCTCTGTCTCTCTCTCCATCCATCGCCAGATGAAGGTTCTATGGTGATATGCAAGATATTCATCAGTGTGGCTATGGGACAAGGCCAGTTCAGGCACCCTCTCCTCTGCTGCCCAAGGAACAATTTGGGGACCTCTCCTTGGACCTGGGAACCCCTCTAGAGTCAAGTCTCCTGCAAACCCTAAAATGGCTCCCTTAATTAAGATATATACTTCCCTGCTCCCATATCCATCCTTCCTCCATCCGACCCATCCCATTCCCCCAAGCTCTCCCAAATCCTCCCCTTCTCCCTTCTCTCTACCCGTCTCCCCTTACATCCACCCCCCCACCCTCGTGCACCCAACTTTTGCTTGGCATTCTTGTCTACTTCCAATATCCAGGAGGATAACTATATGATTTTCTTTGGGTTCACCTTCTTATTTAGCTTCTCTAGGATCATGCATTATAGGCTCAATATCCTTTAATTATGGATAGACTTCACTTATGAGTGAGTACATACCATGTTCCTCTTTTTGGGTCTGGGTTACCTCACTCAGTAAAGCATTTTCTATTTCCATCCATTTGCATGCAAAATTCAAGATGTTCCAATTCATTTAAAATAAAAGTAAACATTTATAAACAAACATTTTTGGAATTTGGGCATAGTTTTCTCCACACTGTTTTTTGCTGTTGGTTGGGCAAAGTATTTTCAGATTCATGGAGACCTTTCAGGGAGTCTTCTTCTATCAAATCACATTAGCCTGGAAGGAATATGCAGGTTCTCATTTTCTGTGGAAACAAAGGTAAAATGTTTTTTCCAAAGCAACATATCCTGAAACCCAATTTTGAAGTTAAGCTACCAATATATATAATATCAGCAGCCCCCAGAAACAAATGCTCTCTCTGCAATCAAAACATTCAAAGAAAACCCAACAATGTGCATAATCCAGACTCTTTGTGTCTTTTTTATCTTTTCTTGTCCCATTGTGATTTTTATTCTATTTTTCCTTTAAGAACCTTTAATATCCTTAAATTGTTTTTTTTTAATCTATGACTCTATTTTTTTATCCTTTCTGTCTTAAGGCCATGCACACCTATCAAACGTACTGTTGCCCATTTAGAGACCTTTTTCTGTCTGAAGCTCTCTTATTGTGTATCTGTAATTCTTTTCTGACCAGAAGCACTTGTTTAAAATGCTAAGTGGTGTGGCTAGGACTAATTCTGCCTCTTTGCATTTTTGCTCCACTTCTTCTAACATGGTGGAGATATGTTTACTACCTTTGTGAGCCATGCTGACTGCCCCAGCCCCAGGAACTGCAGAAGATCTATGCCATCATTAAGCAACTAGTAGCATCCTGCTCACCACACTGCATTTAAGTGCTCTGTATCAGGACCTCCCAACTGAGCCAGAGCTGTTTGTGCTGCTAGCACAAATGAAGAAGCTATTTCTTAAAAAACCGCACATCTGTTCAACACCAGCAAACAGAGTCTAACTGAAAAGAAAAAATACGGCTACCAAGAAGTTGTGCACATGCACACCAAGGAGGAATCAGCACTGGGGGTCTGGGTGATTGTCACAGGTGAAGAACACTGTAGACCTCAATATCAAAGTGATGAGCAGAAATGGGGGGGGTGTCTATACTGATCTTAACTTTGAGGGACCAGGAAAGCACAGCCACAAGGCTGGCAGGAATTGATTCCTGAGAGTGAGAAATGTCAAAGAACCCCTTTGCCTATAATGAGTCACCTATGGGAATAAAGATGAAAAGCCCCATCTAGTTCTCCATTCTGAAGAGATTGTGCTGTGTAGGCTCTACCAAATTGCTGCTCAGTTATGGAAGCAAAGGGGCCATGAAGCATCACTTTTCACTTAAAGTAAGCAGGAAACCTAAATCCTAAATATTGTTCCTCCAAGATGAACACATACATACTAAATGAATTAAATAACTCTGTGTGTGTGTGTGTGTGTGTGTGTGTGTGTGTGTGTGTGTGTGCGCGCGCATGTATGTATATATGAACATTTGTGTGCATTGGTACAAAATTATGTTCTTGAAATGGAGAATTTGTGGACTATTAGACAGAGACATAAGGTAAAGAACTCCACTGTCAGTAGACCTTGCTATGAGCATGCTTAATGGATTCCTACAGATCTCTTACTTCCTAAACTCTTGAAATAAACAGCTGTGCAACATCACTTATGTGGATGCCCAGGTATGACAGAAAGATAGACTTCCTGGATAAGGATTCCAAGACAGCGGCATAGAAGGTCAAGAGATTGAGGGAATGAAATGTGTAAATTTCAAACAAAAAGTGATCATCTGTGGTGTAATAGCTAATGACAACTCCATTGAGAAAGAGAAAAACTGTAAACCAGTTTTTGAGGGCAGCAGTGAAAGAGGAAGCAATGATAAAAACCAAAATGGTTTAGAAAAAGAATCCCAGACACAAGCAGAAAATGAGTTCAACAATTGAAAAGAGAACTGGAAAGTAAGAGGAGGGCACTCAGAAAATGAAAAGTAGTGCTTTTCCCTATTTAAGACACATGCACACAGCAGGGACTTCAGAGAACATAGAGGGGAAGGTTCAGGACCAACAGCCCAAAGGACCAACAGCATCAGCAACATCCACAATGGCTAGACCCTGTGCTTTCCTGATGGCCCTGGTGCTAATGAGCTATTGGTCTACCTGCTCTCTGGGATGTGACCTGCCTCAGACTCATAATCTCAGGAACAAGGGAGCCTTGACACTCCTGGCACAAATGAGGAGACTCTCCCCTCTCTCCTGCCTGAAGGACAGAAAGGACTTTGCATTCCCTCTGGAGAAGGTGGATGCCCAGCAGATCCAGAGGGCTCAAGCCATCCCTGTCCTGCAGGAGCTGACCCAGCAGGTCCTCATCCTCTTCAGCTCAAAGGACTCATCTGTTCCTTGGGAGACAACCCTCCTAGACACATTCTGCACTGGCCTCCACCAGCAGCTCAAGGACCTGCAGGCCTGTCTGATGCAGCAGGTGGGGGTACAGGAACCTCCCCTCACCCAGGAAGACCCCCTGGACGCTGTGAGGAAATACTTCCACAGGATCACTGTCTACCTGAGAGAGAAGAAACACAGCCCCTGTGCCTGGGAGGTGGTGAGAGCAGAAGTCTGGAGTGCCCTGTCTTCCTCAGCCAAGTTGCTGTCAAGATTGAGTGAGGAGAAGGAGTAAGTCCTGAGCCAAGGAGGTGAGGACTCCCCTGGGATAGAACCCTGCATCTCACTGCATACATTTTCCTTTAAAAAAAATTCTTTATTTTAATACGAATTTGATCAATCTGCTGAGATGTTTCAGCAAAGCAACAAATTTCATCTATTTGTAAAGGCATTTGTTTCTGCATCTATTTGGATGGTATTTGTGTATTATGTGTGTATTTATCTTCTTATTTATGTAATTTAAGTTATTTAAGTTAAATCTTGCAGTTTTGTATTATTTAATGTAGGAAAGCATAATATGCCATTAAATTGTATTATATTTTGCTAAATAAAAGACTTGATTTATCAGTTCTGTATTTTTCAAATTTTTCCAGTAATTTTAAGTTGATTCTCTACACTATAAAAACTGTACAAATGGGCACAATGTAAAAATATTGCACTGGATATGTGTGTGTGTGTGTGTGTGTGTGTGTGTGTGTGTGTGTCTGTGTGCACTACATAGTGTTTAGACAAACCCTACATCTGTTGCTCAGATCTCCAGTATATAGTATTCTTTGTATGTCCAGCTGGCATGCTGTTCAGTAGAAAGCTAGAGAATCTTGCCCTGTCTCATTGTGAGTTAGTCGTCTTTGACCTAATGTTCACCAGAGTAATCCTCCCTCTGACCTCCCTGACCTCTGGTGCCTTTCATTTACTCTCAACTTCTGTCAGCTTGACAGTTTTGGGTTCTAAATATGGGTGAGATCGTGTACAACAATGCAAAAAAAATCACAGAAAAATGATCAGCCTGCCTGAATATGCAGCAAACATACCAGTAAGATAACAGGAAATCACCCCCATTCATAAGTGCCTCAAGAAATATACCTGCAATAAATCTCACCAGGGAAGTGAAATGCCTCTAAAATTAATCCTTCCAAACACCACTGTTCCCTCTCAATTTCTCAAGTTTTCTCCTCCTCCTCTTCTTCTTCCTCTTCCGCCTCCACTTCCTTTTCCTCCTCCTTTTCATCTTTCTTCTCTTGGAGCTTCTAGTTGAGCATGGATACACAGCAATCTCCTGGAGCTTAGGTAGCCTCTCTTAGGGACGCCAACCCTGAGGACAATGAATTTCTCTCTCGGCAGCCACCAATTGCCATAGTTCCTCAGCTAGAAGTGAAGTTTCCTGTGTTTTCCAAGCTGGGATGTTGTCTGGCTTGGTCTTGTTCATTCAGTCACAGCCACTCTCAGTTCATCTGTGTAGATACCGTGCTGGTCCAAGAACACTGCTTTCCTGTTGTCATGCATGGTCTCCGGATCTTGCAGTCCTTCTGCTCCCTCTTCTGCAATGATCCTCGGGGCCAGGAAGTCAGCCCTTTATTTTCTGCTTTGTGACTGGTTGTGAGTCTCTGCATTCATTGCCATCTGCTGTAGGAGGCTTTTGTGGTAAGGGGTAGTAATCCCGCAGTAACACTCTCTTAGACTATAGCTGTAATCTGAAATCAGGTATGGTGACACTACCGGTACAGCACTGCTTTTATTCTTTGGTATTGCTATGGTTCCATGTGCTTCAAAAACAGTATTTCTAGGAGAAACTTGATTTAGATTGTGTGGTGGTTTGAATAGGAATGGCCCACATAGACTCTTGTGTTTGAATGCTTGGTCCACTTCATCTTTGGTGGAGTATGTGTGGCCTTCCTGTAGGAAGTGTGTCACTGTGGATATTGGCTTTGAGGTATTATGTACTCAGGCTTGGCCGAATGTGGCAGTCCCCTTCTGCTACCTGTGGATCAAGATTCAGTATTTTCAGCTCCTCCAGTAACATGTCTGCCTGCCCTCTGTCATGTTTTTCACCGTGATGATAATGGACTACACCCTGAAACTGTAAGCTACCACATGAAATGCTTTTCTTTACAAGAGCTGCAGTGGTCATGGTGTCTCTACACAGCAATCCCTTGGGAACATAGTCACTTTCACAATGTCATTGTGTTTAATCAACATAGATCATTCTGCCGAATCTTGGTGACTAATTATGTTATCACTTTCTCACTTGGATGATATGCCAGTTCTTTTCTTCACCTTTCATTTCCAATGACATTATTGTTTTGGTTCATTGCCACAAACCAGCATCAGGGTTTTCTTTCTAGGACAGTAGAAAAGGGAAACAAACCAGATGTGGTGACTTCTACAATCAAATCAACACCTCAAGGACAAACAAAAAGAGTTAATGGAAAATTATAGACATTTGAAGTACTGAAAGCTTTTGCAGTCTGATAAAATAGCCTGAACATCTCTACAAATGTGTCTAGCTTCGGGATTAAGCTTAATCACTGAAATCAAAGCTCAATAAGGAATTGAAGGCTTACAAATACTTTATGTAGGGATCTTTGTCCTAGACCAAGTGGCAGTATATATAAACATATGTATTATACATGATGCACTGTTTAACAGCAGCACATACTATATTTAATATTGTACATACGTGTGCACACAACTTTCTTTCTGATACATTCCCAGTACCTCCTCGCTTTCCAGACCCAAATTTTCAGCCTCATAGCCCTGGCTTCCTCCTCCCTGATGTGGAAAGCTCCAGTGTGTGCTCCTCATTCTGTCCTCATTAACCAGCTCTGCTCACTGCACAACTGATCTCTATTATGTCTATTATTAATATTCTGGAAATGCACAACCACCGGTTGAAAGCAAAAAATGAAATATTTAAGGTTTGTAAAAAGCTCTCATATGAGAGAATTTGGAACTGAGAGAAAGTTTTTCTATGACCTAATGCTGAATATTGCCAGACACAACAAGGGAAAGAGAGAGAGAGAGAGAAAGAGAGAGAGAGAGAGAGAGAGAGAGAGAGAGAGAGGAAGAAGAAGGAGGAGGAGGAGGAGGAGGAGGAGGAGAAAGAGGAGGAGGAGGAGGAGGAGGAGAGAATAAAGAAACAATCTGCAATGTTGGCAAACACTTAGAGAGGAAGAGAATCCCTACTGGTCATCACTTAAAAAAAAAGAGAGAGATTAACTTAACTCTGTGTACTCAGAAAAAATGTGTTTTCTAAATTTTTCTCTATAGCCAAATGGGATTTGCCCAGAAGAAATGACTTCAGTTTGGAAAACTCAATTCTCTTTACTTCTCATCTGAGGGAGGGAACAACATCCCAGGTTCACATGGGTCATGTCTTCTGGACATGGACAGCTAAATGTGCACAAAATGGTTACTAAGAGTTGTTTATCCCTCTAATCTTGTGTAGATAAAGTTCTCTGGAGAAGGAGGGGTCTGTGTGTAGTCCCTGTAGTAACTGTTTACAACCGAGCTCTGTGTATGATATCACATCATTTTGATCAGGTATAAAGCATTTGGAATGCATCGTGAAACTGAGCACACCATGCCCCGTATAGGAATGGTGGAATACAGTGTCTGAGCCTCAGAAGGGCTGCCCTGCTTTCCCCCTGCTGCTCTGCCTACTAAGATCAGCAACAATGGGCTTGGTAAATGCTCTGATTTATGACTGTCTTGATGCGTGACGTCAAAGGTTCAAGTGACTTCTACATCACATGGGCAACCTGAATTCGTGTTACAGACCATGTTACAGTCACCCTTAATTGGCGCAGAATAAACTAGTTCTCATTCATACTAGAGCAAGATCTATGTTTAGGAGGGGTAGTTCAACAGCCCAGAGCATCTTGACCCATCAGCCCCTCTGAGTTTTGTAGTATATGTGGAGAGATGAAGACAACACCAACACCCATTTGTAGGTACAGCTGCCAGGGAAACCCTTGAGTTTCAACTCCATATGTATATCCCAAAATCTGCATGTCTACCCATCACCCCTTCAACATGTCTCAGCAGTAAAAAACAATGACATCTTGAATTTTGCATGCAAATGGATGGAAATTGAAAACACCATCCTGAGTGAGGTAACCCAGACCCAAAAAGGTGAATATGGTATGTACTCACTCATTAGTGGATTCTAGCCATAAATAAAGGACATTGAACCTATAATTCGTGATCCTAGAGAAGCTAAATAGGATGGTGAACCCAAAGAAAAGCATGTAGTTATCCTCCTGGATATTGGAAGTAGACAAGAGTGCCAGGCAAAAATTGGGAGCTTAGGGGTGGAGGTGGGGTGGGAGTAAGGGGAGATGAGTAGAGAGAAGTGAGAAGGGGAGGATGGGAAGAGCTTGGGGGAATGGGATGGTTGGGTTGGAGGAAGGGTGGATATGGGAGCAGGGAAGTAAATATCTTAATTAAGGGAGCCATTTTAGGGTTTGCAAGAGACTTGACTCTAGAGAGGATCCCAGGTGTTCAAGGAGATGGCCCAGCTTTTTCCTTGAGCAGCTGAGGAGAGGGCACCTCAACTGGCCCTATCTTATAGCCACACTGATGAATATCTTGCATCTCACCATAGAACCTCAGCTGGCGATGGATGGAGATAGAGACAGAGACCCACATTGGAGCACTGGACTGAGCTTCCAAGGTCCAAATGAGGAGCTGAAGGAGGGAGAACATGAGAAAGGAAGTCAGGACTGCGAGGGGTGCGCCCACCTACTGAGACGATGAAACTGATCTAATGGGAGCTCACCAAGTCCAGCTGGACTGAGACTGAAAAAGCATGGGATCAAACCGGACTCTGTGAACGTGGCTGACAATGAGGGCTGACTGAGAAGCCAAGGACAATGGCATTGGGTTTTGATCCTACTGCATGTACTGGCTATGTAGGAGCCTGGTTTGTTTGGATGCTCACCTTCCTAGACATGAATGGAGGGGGGAGGACCTTGGACTTTCCACAGGGCAGGAAACCCTGACTACTCTTTGGACTGGAGAGGGAAGGGGAAGGGGAATGGGGGGTAAGGAAAATGGGAGGAGGGGAGGAGGTGGAAATTTTAATAAATAAATAAATAAAAACAAAATGAAACAAAACTGTCTATCTACTGTCTTTCCCTCCTCCCTAGCACCTCTCATTTCATCTAATGGCACTGGGAGAGTCAGTGTGCCACATAGTATACATTTTTGTACAATCAGCCCCACCCTCAAATGTTTATTGCAAGGAGTCATTGGTCTGGTTCAAGGTCTCTGACC